AATGCAAAAAAGGTATTTTAATACTAGCCACGTTACATTTTTTTTAAATTAAGAATGAAGTATATTGCATACATACCATTAATAAATTATGAAAGGCATCCATTTCTGCAACTGTTTTTATAGAATTTACACCAGTTTGGTGTTTCGGAGAAAGAGCAATATTTATGGACATGACAATTAAACATCCCAAGAAGAAACACGATATGGTTAGAACACCAAAGACATAACACCATAGTAAATTATTCCAATAGAAAAATGCAGTTATAAGTGGTATATACAGAAAACCGGTCCACATCATTTTGAATTTCGATTTTAATCACGTGACAATAAATATTACATTTTCAATTTCATATTTGTAAAACTGTTACGTTTACTCCGTGAAAAGCAGCGAACGATGTAAACAATACCGCCATCGTGTGGCATAAAATATAGTTCAAGAAATCACACAGAATAGTCAATTTTCTTTCCTGCGTTCGGAAGCTTACAAATATCTAACTTTCAGCCAATACTTAAAATATTCCTTTTATAAATTAGTACATACGAGAATATACATATAATTTATATAATAACAGAATTACAATCTCCTTTTTCGTTATTTTAGCGTGTGAGAGCAAGCTTCAAATATAATCCGTAAAACTTACAGTATTACTTACAATATATTCAATAATGTATACTGCTCATACATATTTAATATAAAATTATCTATAGAGGAAATGTTGTTAAATACTAATGTTTCATTTCAGTAAATTATAAATTTTAAATGTATTAAAAATAATGTTCCATTTTTGCTACAGTATTTAAATATAAACGGTTTTAATACAGTTTATTAACATAATAACCTTTGAAAGGAATGGTTCATTTAATTTGAAAATCGTTTTTGTTGCTAATTCTGGTTTTTTAGTCGTCTAGTTGTTTTTGAATTATTCACTATAGATAAGTTGAAATGACGTAAACAAATTTTGTAATCAACCTTGTTTAACGTACAATAACCTTATTGCGTATTGTGGTTTTTCACAATATTTGCATAAGGTTCAAATGTAATCTTCGAAACAACGAACTTCCATACGAGTCAATAAATAAATTACAGAATATTATTCGATATTAATTTTACTTTCAGAACTAGAATAATTAAAATAGAATAACGATGTATTACTGTTTCATTCAGGGTTAGGAGATAAGGTTTTTCTAAATTTTTTACACTTTTTAGCTAAAGGCTTTATCGTACTGGCAATAATGGATTGGTATCGAATATTAAATAATGACGGATCTAATCCAATTAGTGCTAGTAAAGCTTTTGGTAATCATTTAGTGATACAAAGGTAATTTAAAATTGATATTTTGGAAAGGCCTTTCGCATGTATGTATATCGCAAAAAAGTAACATTTTTAATTATCATGCACCAACTACTATACTTTGTATACAATATATAGATAAATATGATAGAAATTTCAGTTATTATGGCATTTACTCTTATATGTATATTATTTCTTTTTCTGTATTATGTATTTTAATACAACATTCTACATATTCAATTATTTGAACGGAAATTACACTGTGTTTGCTTAGAAAAAGCAATTAAATAAAGTAAAATAAAGGAAAATAATAGAAGTAGAAATAAAGAAAGAAATTAAATAAATAGAACTGCTGAACGAGTATTAGGCATATATGTATATATAATATTAACTTGCGAAGTCCATACAAAGGCCGTCAGTACTGCATCTCCACCACACTTGAATTCTGAAATCACAGGTGAGCGAACCGAGGTGGGAAAAAACCTTCTCCACGTGATATTTTCCTCGAATGGACACAACGATAATTCATCTGTTACTATCGTACTTTTCACTTCTAAAGCAATAGTATAACACGTGTGTTAAAGGTTGCGAAGAACGCGGGATAAATGAAACACGTACAATGAGCATTTTATCATCTATCCTGAATCAGCTGTTTCCTATATATAACACCCACGTTTCTAAATCTGGTGATTTGTTTTGTACGGAACATCATGTCGTCGCTTTACAGTATTCTATTATCGCAATTTCTCATTATAAATTCCGTTTTGGCAACCGCAATAAATAAATCCGACAATAAACGAAATGTATTACTTAAAACCGTAAGTCACTATTATGTTTTTATCTTTACAATTAAGTTTTATATTTAGTTGTATACATATAGTTAATTTTCAACCTGACTCGAGCGGGTGTATTTACATTTATAATTTCGAATTTATTGTATTGTTACATTTGTATTTATAATTTTCAATGTAAAAAACATCAGGTTTCATTTGATTGCAGTCTGTGCAGTTCAAATATAAATTTAGTCATACACTTGAGTTTAAAACTTGAAAGGTAAATTTATTATATCATTGCCTTTGCAAATTTATATTTCACTATTTAACTGTAATCTGTAGTTTAAAACGATAAATTAATTATATTCACAATTTTGTTTACGTTTAGTTATAACACTGAATTCAAAACTCAAATTCATTATACTTTTACCTTAGCAATTTAGATCGAAATATAATTCGTTTTTTTCGAAAGAATTATTAAATTGAAGCTTATAACTGATATATCCTAGCAAATGTAAACTAATAAAAATCGTATATTAGTGCATGTATAAATACTGTTTTATTCTGTTTCTTAATGAATAGCCTGAATTAGTACGAAAACAGGGCTACCAGTTGGAGATTCATAATGTCGTTACGGAGGATGGTTATATTTTGGAAATTCATAGACTTCCATGCGGACGATATAATTGCCAATGGAATTTTGCGAATGTGAAGCGACCGATTTTAATCCTACATGGCTTGGCGGGCAGTTCTGCCGACTGGATACTTATGGGGCCTGAAAGAGCGTTGGGTAATTATAAATGAAAGTACTTATTTACATATATATATACGTATGGCAGTTGGTGATTGAAGGAGGAAAAGAAATAGAGAGAGAATAGGCAAAACAAGACGAAGAAGGAAAGATACGTTTTTTCCGTCCTTGAGAGCCTCCTTAAAGTGAACTCATGTCAATAAGGCTACGTAAAGATCTGTGTCCTAGGCGCGGGAAACGGTTAGGTTTAACTTAGAAGTTCTATATACATATAGAAATAGAAGTTTTGGTCAGAACTAATGAGAAAGAAGGTTAATGTAACTGTAGTCCGTCCCCCTGACGGTGGAACGTAAGAGGTAACGCCGCGCATGTTTAAAACTGTTATGTTAAGCCAGGGGTTCCCAAAGTTTTGCCTAGGTGGGCAAAATTGTAAATTCGAAAATATTTGGCGGGCCATTAAGACAATTACGGCCATTGGCCGTTAAGGCAATAAAATATATACAATTTATATAATAACAAGATATATTACATATAAAATTTAGTACTTTTTTAACGGAGCAATTTTTAATTATAATATGATAAAATTTATTTATTTTTTTGTAAAAATGTAAATTATCTCTGTAAATTCAAGATCGCGGCTGATCTGCCATCGCGGGCCGCATTTCTAGGGTTTGTGGGCCGCAATTGGCCCGCGGGCCGCATTTTGGGAACCCCTGTTTTAAACTAAACCGTTTGACTGCAGTGGGGTACGATGGCACGCTTTGTTTGTTTTACTACAAAGATGCGAAGTTGAAACAATCAGATTTTACGTATATCAATGAAATATGCTCAAGTAATAGAGAATTTTACTTTTACGCAATCATTAAGCAAAAAGGAATTTCACTTGTTCACTTGACGTTATAGCATAATAGAATGTAACATGATGAAATGAGAGTTGAAGATATAAAAAGGTTATTGACATTTTCAACACCTTTTGTCAATTGGAACGAATGCTATTTACAAACACAAAACTGTTTATAATTAAAAAATAAAGTCAAATTAGACACACATACATTTATACAAACTTGTTTTGTTGTGTTGTGGCATTCGTACCTGAAATTGTTTCTAAACATTAAATTACAAAGATTAATATAAATTTTGTTTCTCGACTTTCTTTTTTTGCTTCATTATTGTAATATTATTCTATATTATATTCTTTTCTAGAAATTAAGCAGGATAATAAAAGTTTTACTACTCGTTGTTCCATATGCTCACGTGATTATTAATTTTAATATTATTTTTAAAAATTTTCAAACCTGAATACATATACAAATTTCCAATAAAATTGAATGGAGATTGCTTATGATATTTATATATCAATATTCTTTCAAACTTTTGCACAAAGAATGTAACATTTTATGCAAGCAAAGCGAAGCTGTTTTTAAAATTAACAAAATTTACGTGATAAGTATCTTTATAGAAACCACGCAACTTACAGAAACAACTTAACAACTTATAGAAACGTAAGCAACAATTTTTAAAAAAGAACGACACTGTTTGGTTTCTTTTAACAATTTATGTAATTAACTTCCGTTTTGAAGATTTAAAATATAAATTAAATTCAGTTACTCATGAATTTAGAAAGTTGCACTTGATCGTATTATATGACGTAATGTGAAATTTTTACGAATTGGGTGTAATACGTTAAACAAAGTAATAATGCAATCGAAAAAAATTAAATGTTACTTTAGGTAATTTAACATATACAGTTGCAGTCATTAATATCCAGTCACCTTTAGAACAGCATAACTTTTTTACAATTAGACCAAATGACTTGAGTTTTTTTTTAGAAGTTAGTAGGATTAGTTTACCAAATGACGTGTACAAAAACTTTGGAAAAATTGCAATTTGTGGGAATTGCAGAGAAAATTGTAAAAGTTACTTTTTACAACTTTTTTATCTGAGCTTATTGTGAAAATTTGCGAAATCTTGTTAGATTCCCTGAAATTTCCATGAAATTTTCAGTATGTATATAATTGACATGGATCTATAAAACGTATGTTTTAAATTTTGTACAATTTACTAATGATAATTTTCCACTAATAAAATGTAACAGAATAATTTTTTATGACCTCAAGTAGCAATCACAGCTTACATAAACAAATTAAATAAGTACCGTTAAATTATTCCTGTACATACATATATCTCATATTATGAGAAAAACGTGACCATCGTAATTTCGTACTTTTATTATAGTTGTTTAAACAAACACTTATAATTCTATATTTATATGATTTTTTAGATATCTTGTATGCA